AGCTCAGCCCACCAGGGGGCGGGGCTGGCTGGCATGTGGTGCTGGGGGATTGAACCGCGGTCCCTTGTGCTTTGCTAAGCTTGTTCTAAGTAGGTGCTTTAGACCACTGAGCCATCTCCCCAGCCCAGGGTCTCATTATATAGTTCAGGCTGGCCTGAACTCACTGTGTAGCCCAGACTGGCTTCAAACTTGCTGTGATCCTGCAGCCTCGTGCCCCTACCCGCTAGTGCTGGGATTACAGGCATGCACCACCACACTGGTCAGGATCTATAATTTTGACCACATTTTCTTATTTTCTCTCCAGAGACCCAAATTGTAATGTTGTTTTTCTTGCCAGTATATCCCCTCTTCATGCCACTTTCCTCTTCTGTCAGGTATTTTGTCAAAGTGGCCTGGGCCTGGACGTTCTGTCTCCTCCTGCCTTTCATTGCCCTCACGAACTACTACCTGACAGGCAAGGCCAGCCTGGTCCTGCGGCGGTTGAGCACCCTGCTTGTGGGCACAGCCATCTGGTACATCTGCACAGCCCTCTTCTCCAACATCGAGCACTACACTGGCAATTGCTACCACTCGCCGGCCCTGGAGGGGCTCAGGAAGGAATGCCAGAGCAAGCAGCACTGCCACAGGGAGGGGGGCTTCTGGCACGGCTTTGACATCTCAGGTCACTCCTTCCTGCTGACCTTCTGTGCCCTCATGATTGTGGAAGAGATGGCCGTGCTACACGAGGTGAAGACGGACCGGAGCCACTGCCTCCACACCGCCATCACCACCCTGGTGGTCGCCCTGGGCTTCCTGACCTTCATTTGGGTGTGGATGTTTCTGTGCACAGCCGTTTATTTCCATGACGTGTCCCAGAAGGTGTTCGGCACCTTGTTTGGTTTGCTGGGCTGGTACGGGACGTACAGGTTTTGGTATCAGAAATCCTTTTCCCCGGGACTTCCTCCCCAGAGCTCTTCTTTGAATTTGAAGCAAGACAGTTATAAGAAGTAAGAGACGCAAAAGAGAGGACAGCAGGACAATGGCTAATGGACCTTCCACTTAATTTATTTAGTTCTTGGTAGAATTATTGATTCTACTTCAGAAAGGAAGCTTACAGGACAGTTTTGGGGAGTGGTGGTGGAGTCCAGGGTACAAGTTTAGCCCATAGGCTTTTCTTGGTACATCACCTGTGTCACCACTCCCACCAGACAGTTTTTGTCCCTGGTAAGACTTAATCTTTATCTGGAATACCCCTTTGGTCCCTTGAGGGGAAAGCTAAAGCTCAGTGAAAGGACAGAATCAGAAAGGCCTCTGTGACATGACTTATGGGGAGGCCAGCGCCTTATAACTCTTCTGTTGCCATCTTCATGATTCTAGTTGTCTTTTGATTTTAGTGGCTGTTAATGTTGGTGTTCTTGTTTTGTGGATTTTTTTTTTTTTTTAATTTCTTAGGGAAGGGTCTACAGGGTGTTCAGGGTCTCACTACTAGATCGGACTCCATCCTCCTGTTTACAGCCTCCCAAGAGCTGGGATTACAGGCATAAGCCTCCACTCCCAGTCTCAATTGCTATCTCAGCCCACCCTGGGGGTGGGGCTGGCATGGCAGGCCTGGGGATTGAACCCTGGGCCCCTGAACCTGCTTGCAGGTGCTTTAATCTGCTGAGCTATTTGGCCAGCCCTTGTTTTGTTTTGTTTTAAACAGTATCTTCTCCCCGGTCAGTTTTGCCAGAAGCCTTTATTTCTGGCAGAGTCCTTTATAAAACAGCCCAGTGCCTGAATGACGTTAGGTCAAGTCATGGTATTTGTTTCTTCTGAGGAGTGTTGAATGTGGCAGCTGACTGTGGTCAGCCACTGAAATGACCCCGCAAGCTGCAGCGGCTCTTGAATGGAGCCCGAGGCGATTTTCACATACTGAACAATGTCCAGGTTGTCTGTTGTTATATGTTGGATGTTGGAGCAATAAGGTTACTTTTTTTTTTCTTCTATTTTGAAGTGACTGCTTTATAGTTTTTAATAATGACTATGGTATTTGTTCTTTGCTGACAAAACCTCTGAAAATAACTCATAGCTCCGGTGTTGCACTTTGGCACACGTAGATTTGTTTCGAGGGTTTTGTTTTTAGAACACTAATTTACTTTTTATAAACCAGACTCTTGGCTTATTGAATTAAATTTCACCTCATGGAGTTGTTTCCTCCATTAGGAATGAAACCAGAAATCAGGCTTGTAATTCGGTGAATTTAGAACTGAGTCGGGGTAACTTTGCACAATGCCTACTTTGTGCGGGAACTTTCCTGACCGCATATCAGTTGCGTAGACAGAACAGTGTTTCAGGGTCATAGGACAAGCGCATTAGTCCCGGTGCTGTGGCCTGAGTCATTTTCACCTTGGACACAATTATGATGTTTCATAATGCGAAGTAAAATTTCTCCCTTGAATGGCTGGAAGCCAGCCTTGTTGCAAAGATGTCTTTATTAAGTGGTGCCATGACCTTGGCCCCACTTCTCTTACTTGCGCCACCAATGAAACACCCCACAACCTGGGCCTCTTCCATCGGCCTTGAAATCAGCTGTTCTTTTCTTCTCTGTAGACTTCTTAGTTTCCAGCCTTCATGGTAAGAATGCTGGGAAGACCTAGAAATCCTGTCACCTCCACCCCACGAGCTCCACATTCTGTAAGACATCTGGCTCCTTAGGCCTTTCAAACTGAGCCCCTTTGTCTTTGGGATAATCCTCCTTCAAGCTTCTTTGATGTCCCTCCCCCAGTCAAGCTAATGATACCATTAACTGATAGCCTCTGACTTGATTGGCTTAACTCATGCCTAGGTTGTTAGCAGGTGGGCAAATCTTCAGGGTCATTTTTAAAATATAAAAAAATATACTTAAAATGTGTATTTTTTAATGCTGTTGAATTGTGGGCCAACTTTGTCAAAGCATAAGATGTGAGATGTTGTTCTCAAAGGGGAAGAAACACAGACTGTGCGGTGTCACCACAGTGCTACAGCAAGATGTGGCAAGTGGACTAGAGAGGACATTTCACACTCTGGAGTTCCCACCGGCACACTAGGTTTGGGCGTGGGGCTGGGGTGCGTGGCAGGGGCTTGTTGAAGGAGTTGAAGTGTCTCGTAACTTTCACGTGCAGCACTAGAAGAGAACAGGCACAGTGTGATCAGACGTTTACTTGTCACACTTCAGTCTCTAGACATTTCTCCCACGAGGTCTGGCCCAGGCTTAGTACCACACGTAGGACATGTCAGTTATCCAGCCTTCTGCATGGGTTACGCTTCCACCAATTGCTCATTTCTAGCACCATCTTTTTTTCCCTTTTGGGGTGCTGGGATGGAGCCCAGGGCCTTGTACATGCTGAGCACATCCTCTGATTCTGGCCTACACCTGTCTGCTTTTGGTACCCTGCCTTTTCTTCAGAAGAGTCATGGCGTAAGAGAGAGTTTGGGCCCAGCAAAACATGGGACATAGGTTCAGATTTTAGCACCCTTTGCAGTAGCCTGTGGGCCATGCTTTGTCTTCTTCGTTGGCCAAGGGGAATGATGCATGTCAAGTGCTGAACATAGGAACTTAACAGGTGATAATCTCCATGCCTCTATTTCAGCTTTTGGAATGTTCTAGTTTCCCTAGAGAAGGCAGAGCAACTTACATCTTTCAGGGGTCACCGGAGGCTGGTTCTGTTGTTTTAACAGTCTCATCTCCTGAAAGGTGTCTGTGGTCCTCAGGCTCAACAAGAGGGCTTGTGGGCATTTGGGACCACAGGGTTCTGTCATGCTTATTTTCCCCTATGTGGAGGTTCATTCACTGACACCTCATCTCCACATGCATCTGTCATTGTCTGGGTACCAGACTGTGTTTAGAGAGCGGCTCCCGCCACTGTTATATACACACAAATCCTGTGCGTAAACAGGCAAATTAAAATACACTGGAGACAGTGATATCTGGCGTTTTAGCATTTTGTGTGTTCCTTTCTGACACCCTAAGGAAGTCCAGGGCCCAGCAAACCAAAGACCATGAAAGTAGGCGATCCTTTCTTGAGTTATTTGTTACACATGGGATATATCGTGGCTGGAGTTTCTCTCCCCCTTGGCCTAACAATTTCTCTGTGTCACTCTGTCTTTCTGTTGATCTGTCTGTCTGTCTGTCTGTCTGTCTGTCTGTCTGTCTCTCTCTCTCTCTCTCTCTCTCTCTCTCTGTCTCTGTCTCACTAAGTCCTGATATCTACAGAGTCTACCAAAAAATGTATTACATACATCAATAAAAGAAAAACATGTATAAATATTTTAATACTAAGTTTATTGAGACATCATGAGATTGAATGCATGTTACCTTTAGCCTCTACAATTACAAGTGGTACTCAGAGTGGTGGCCATGAGCTTCCAGATATTAATGTGACAGAAGGTTGTTTTGGTAACCTTGGTCATTGAGACGGATGCTCATGAATTTTCCTTCTTTTCTTTTCTTTCTTTTTTTTTGATGGAACTGGGGATTGAACTCAGGCCCTTGTGCTTGCCAGGGAAGGGCTTATTCCACTCAGCTATCTCCCTGGCCACCCCCCCTTTTTTTTTTTAATACTGGAAATTGAACTCAGGACCTTGTGTTTGCCAGGCAGGCGCTTGTGCCTCTGAACTATGTCCCAGGCCCATGCACAAGCATTTTCAACTTCATCTCTAAGGGCGGGCAGTGTAGTGGGTTTTCTGTGATTTGCAATATTCTCTAGGGTCCCCCACACAAGGGTGTCACCATCTGTTCTGAAGTGTGTAAACATGTTTTGGCAGACTCGCGTATCTATAGATCTATTCCTTAGCGTGCCTTACTCCTTTCCTCTGTCTTATGATCCAGAGGGCTGAGCCAGCTGCCATACAGAGGACAGGAGAAGCCCACAAAAGGAAGGCTGAAGAACAGTGACAGAGTTCACTGAGGCGCGGCCCCCCTGGCAGGTAATCTGTGGCCCTGGAGGCCCTGTCACCCGTGACAGCTTCTTATGCCTTTTATCGCCCTCTCCCTTGCCAATCCCACCTGCTTGACACCCCCAGGTAGCATCTGTCAAAAGCTCCCTGGCTCCGGTATTAGAATCGATTTGTGCTGCACAGCGTCACTATTCATACCCTGTCAGCAGCAGGAAGCACTGCTGGTACCACCTTCTCGCGTGGTGACCTGCTGGTGTCCAGACTTCAAACATGCAGACTCAACAGTCTCAGTGCAGCAGTTTGCATGCGGAAGCATCCAGAAAGATTTTTGTTACAGTTGTCTGCAAGAGGAAAGATTGCCAAGAACCTACATGCCAGTCAGTCACAGAAATTCTAGTAACCTGACACGGTCCCTACAAAGAAGGAGTGATATTATCTCTCCCATGGAGTTTGGAGGTGGAAAGAGGCGGGCACGTGCTGTGTGTCCTCAACCGGGTCAGACTCAGCCCGTTTCTGGAGCCTAAGGCAGGGTTCCTAGTGCTGCACTTCAGCCCTCAGTCCCTGGCACAGTAGCTGAAGAATACACAGCGTGCCAGTCTCGGTGCTAGGCAGTGGGTGCAGCATTAATTCAGAGACGTGAACCTACCTTCAGTGGGTACAGACTAAAGCAAGCTGCCCCAAACTGTGTCAAAAGCAGGGCGCACCAACCTACCCCAGCAGTGTCGTAGCTCAGGCAGAGGGGAGTTAATAAGGCACTTGGAGATGCCAAGGAGTGAAAAGATGGACTGGATTCAAATCTTGGCTCTGCCATATACATTGGCTTTGTGTCCTTGAGTAAATTCTTTAACCTCTCTATGCCTCAGTTTCCTCATCTATAAAACAGGAAATAGAACCTGCTTAATAGGATTGTGGAGATGAAATAAATTGGAACTTGCAGAGTGCTTAGAACAAGGCCTTTGATATGGGAGGGATGATATCAAGCTTCCTCAAGCACACAGTCCTAATGTGCCTGTTACTGTAACTTACTTTACCAGAGGGAAAACACCCCATAAAACCATACTCACATTTTCAGTTTAAATGGACTTATAGGTAAATTGTGCACTGGATGGAGAAAGCCACATCCCCAGGCTGTAGCACAGGTCTGCAGTCTTCTGGACCCTGCAAGTGCTCTGCCACGGAGCCTCCTCCCGGGCCCCAGCCTATAGTTAAGTTCTTCCTTAAGTGCGAGCCGAGGTGACATGGTGCCCTTCCAAGTCTACACCTCACTCTGCTCCCCACTCTCCTTTCCTGCTCACATCACATCAACCCCGACCTTCCCATGACAAGGTATTGTGGGGTGCTGTGTTGTGCTTTGCTTTGCTTTGCTAGCGAAGGAGTGCTGGGTGCAGAATCCAAGGCCTCATATGTGCTAGGCAAGTACTGTCCACACCCCCACCCCCGACTGAGCTTTAACCATGCTGGTGAAGAGAGGGCATTGGAAAGTGGAGCCAAAGGGGTAGACTACGCCAGTCTATCCCCCTCACCTTATGAGTGGAAGGTAACTGAACCTTTATTCTTCCAGGTCTTAGGTGTATCTTTTTATTAAAAGAGCTCAGCATTCACCCTAACAATTCTATATTCTTTTTTTTTTTTTCCTTAACTATATAGTCCAGCTGTCCTTGAACTCACTAGGTAGCCCAGGCTGGTCTCAAACTCACAGTGATCCTCCTGCCTCAACTGTTGTATATCTTTAACTCCTCTGCCCCACCTACTTTCTTTCCACCTCTCCAGACCTGAGCGCCTTGCTGTCTGTGCAGATACCCTTGGGAAAACTGCAGCATACTGGGCAGTTGGTGGAGATGTAGCTCGGTTGTGCTGCAGTCCTTCTGCAGCTTCCAAGAAGAACAACAAGCTCTTCTGACAGATGAAAACCTTCCCTGCCTCGAACTGAAACAGTTTCTCTGGCTTTGCCAAGGGTCTGAGTCTCAGCAGGACCAGAAAACCTCCCCCTCTTCCTGCTGAACAATAAGGGGAAGCCTTCACTTATCACTCTGGCTACATCTGCTTCCAGTCCTGCCACTACAGTTCTCTCTGTCTCTCTGCCTCTGTCTGTCTGTCTGTCTGTCTGTCTGTCTGTCTGTCTGTCTGTCTATCTGTCTGTCTCTGTCTCTGTCTTTCTCTTCCGGACTCACTGTATCATTCAGGCTGATTTCGAACTCACTTTCTAGCCCAGGCTGGCCTTGGACTTGTGGAAGTCCTCCTGCCTCAGCCTCCCAAGTGCTGGGATTACAGGCATGTGCCTTAGAGTCCTCCTAGATTGCAGGCGATATTGCTCTCTCCTTTAGCACTAAGGCTGGAGGCTCCCTGGGGCTGGGGACTAGGTCCTACTTAGAGTTTGCCCCAGGGTAGGTGCTCGGGAGGGTTTGTGAGTGGATTCTCCTCATCTGCCAGCTGCCAAGGATCCTACTCTTCTGTCCTCGCATTTGCTTCAGCAGATAGAAAACACTAACATGTAGCATCCTTCCCAGCTCAAATCCTTGGGTTCCCAAAACAGTCATTTCTCTGAAATAGTTAAAACATCTTTTGGAGATTCAAGACATTCCCTCCAAGTAAACGATTAACTGCTGCACCACCACCAAAAAAAAAAAGACAAAATTTGTGTGTGCTGTTCCAAACCATTTACTGAACAACCCACAGGGCTTCCTGGTTTGAATGAGTCTCAGAGCATTTTAGGCCACCATATAGGATACTTTGCCAGCTAGGCCATTGTGTCCCAGTAGATCCATGGGTATTCACATCGCCTGTGAGACAGCCACGCACTCCAGAGCTTCCAGCTACCCCTAGTAGGAAAATCTCAGTGCCTCCTACTAGTACACAGAATAAAGTCATGTCGTCTTCTGCAAATAATGATTGCCCTTTTGAGAAACAGCATCTGACTTGCTAATGGGTCCTGATAGAGACTGAACACCTGGCCGTGAGACGCCAGGTGACTGTGCAGTCGGAGCTCTCCATCGTGAGCTGGGTGTCCTCTGATCCCTCAAGCCGCACAGCTCGGCATGCATAGAGAGCAGTCTTTTATCAAGTGAAAGTGACATTAGCAGACAGTGTCATCTCTGCTGCCATATTGCTGCCTCAGCCTCATTCCACACTCACGGCCTCATCTCCTGATGGGGAAGTCCCTGTAATCAGTTGATGCAGGAGGAAAAAGCTCCGAGCCTGGAGGACTCTAAAGAGGTAAATCTCTTCAAGTGAGCAGGGTTTGCAGCAGTACATCTGGTTGTTTACCAAGATAGAGAAAGAGGTCCAGAATGTGAGCATATGCATGGGCACAGAATGGATGGTTTGGCTGGATGATCAGCAATGTGGAAAGAACAAGACTGGAATTCACATCAGCCAAGTCTGTAGGGTAACCTGTGTGAAGAGGCCTCTATCAAGAGGCGCTGAATGGGAGAGTAATCGTGTACTAAGTCAATATTGTACAAAAAGTACTGAAAAAGTGCTGATAAACCAACAGACAAGAAGCCATTTTCTGTGGATGTCAGTCATGCTTTTTCCCCAGCCACTTACTGCTTGTCTAATGATTCATATGCAATCACACCATAGTAATTGGGCTATAATTATAAATGTTATATAGTTATAAAATGTAGTTATTACCAATTTAGCTAATTTAGCTGAGTGTCCAACTTCCCTAGGGTTCCTGGTATTACACCATTCACCATAAGCAGTAACCATTGAAATGGCAGATCGGCTCCACTGAACTGCTTCCATTATGGCGAGAGAAGTGCTTACTAATTCTCTCTGTGGATTTGCCTTCTCTGACCTCTGCATACATGCACTTATGAATACCTTGGTTCCAGTCTCAGTATTCTATGTTATATTGTACTGAGTAAAGGGTTGCTATCACAGCAAAAGAAATGAAGCAGGGTGATTACACTGGTGGACCTCTCTGGCCTTATCATATACTCTTTATCTAGCAGCAGCTAGACTTGCAGGATGGTGAAATGGGTCACCGAAGCATTTCTTACAGTGCCAGTTAGAAGAAACTAGAGTGTTAGACTGCTGCCCCAGAGGGAGCAAGCTCCACTGTGCTTTGAACCAACCAGTTCTTTCTCTCATGGCTCTAGCAGTGCTGAGGTGGGAGGTGATATAACTATTTCATTACACGCGCTAACTCATCCATAAAACTGTTGCTGCCCAACCCTGAAACTTTGGACTCTGAGGTTAGAGTTACTAAAGGGGAAATGGTGCTATCAAATATATCAGTGGTTTCACTGAATTTGAGATTGAGACTGCTGCTTGACCATGCTGACCTGCTCATGCCATTGAAACCACAGGCAAAGAAGTAGATAACTCTACTGGCTGGGGGCATTGACCCAGATTTCCAAGGGGACAAGGATTGCTTCTATAAAGTGGGTAGCATGAAAGATTATTCATGGAAACAAGATTCTCTGGAGTGCCCCATAATGTCTTCTGATCTCATAGTAAGAAATTGGTAGAAAATTCTAGCAGCCCAAGGACCACTTATATCAAAGTCATTTTACCAGTTAAACTACTCCAGCCTAGTGAGGTACCATCTGAGGCAAAAACAACATAGTGAATCCAGTGGATAAAAAAGAGATTAAGAATCCCAGCAGTGGCCTCGAGATCAATTTCAGGAAGCAGAAGGTAGCAGCCAAGTAGGTTGTCCTCTTTGTTGTGTATGAGCACCCTGAATAGATGGGATACTGGCGCTGGCTACATTTCAATTTAATGAAATTAAATTATAATTAATCTATATATTGTGGTTGAAGTACAATTAACCTGTGGAACTGAGGAGCAATGAGAAGAGAAGCCCACCTTGTGCCAAGAGAGGTAACTGGCTGATGGAACTTTGCAAGCCCCACTTGGGAAGAGTGAGTAAGCAGGTCCTCACTCCACAAGGGCAGTATATCCTGTCAGGACAAGGGCTCTTGGGTGTTCTTGGATTATGCATGGGGAGAGTCTGCACAGATGTTTGGGGAGCCCAGTGGGTGGACTGTGTCAGAGAGTCATCTCCAAGTTTTACCCTTGCCCTGCTTTGGCCCTGGCTATTTTTTACTTTTTATTTTGATGAAAACATGTACACACTTTTTTTTAAATGTAAAACTATGCCTTGTATTCCATGAATTACATTCCTGGTTTAATATTCTTTGGGTATTTTAACATTTTCCTACTTGGAAATTCAGGCAAAAGGCATCTGCCCTGGGTAACCCCCGGAAGGTCAATATCAGCAAGTGGTTGTGAATCAACTCTGTGAACTGGGAAACTCTGTGCCCACATGAGGTGGGATTGTGTCCAGATGAGAGCTTTGGAAAATCTACCCAGAAGCGGGCCAGCCCTAGCACCTGGAGACCTGGATTTTACTTTGGCTTGCTCTTCTCAAGCCCCATTTCTCAAACCTTGCATCCCCAGCCTTCTGGCCCCAACTTTGGAAATGACAGCTGGGTGGGCAACACAGCTTTAGAAATAAAAAGCAATTGCTCCTCCTGGATGCTTTATTGGGGGCTTTCGTTGGTTTCTAAGCATGAGCGGCAGTGACACCCAGACCCTTTCCCAACATGCAAAAGGCACAGGAAAGTGAGAGCTGACCAAGGGGGCAGCGTGGCTGCAGAGACCCCATGCATACAGCATGAGGGATCCCCCCAAATAATGGGAAAGGTGGGTGTTAGAGGAGGTGAAGAGGGTCCCACCCCTGCACTTGAGCTTGGACTGACCTTCTCAGAGAAGGTCAACATGGCTTTTGCTGAAAGTCCCACCTCACAGCGTGGGAAAACTCAAGATAGGAAGTGGAGGATGGATGCTGCCTTCAGGGGTTTCTGTGGAAGAGCCAAACTGAGCACACCAGCCTCATCAGGAGGGGAGGGAGAGATGTGCTCATGGTGTTGGTCCCAGCCATGGCCAGATTTGGGGTTATCACTGCCTTGGCTCGAGCCAGTGCCATCTCAGTTTATGTCCAGGAGAAGAACGAAGCCCCTTCTGATCTTCAGGGGCCTCTGGCTCTTCAGCCCCAGCAGGAGGTACCGGTTAGAAGAGTCGAGTCTTGGTGTTGGCTTTGTCCTGTGGAAAAGTTCCCTGGCAAGAGGGAAGGGGAGGCGAGGGGTCAGGCCCTCTGAGCCCCAGCACCTCCCAGAACCTGGGCCCTGGTGGGTGGAACATCCTACGACTCACCTCAGATCCTAACCAGTCCTCACAGTTCCGTCTTGAGACCTTGAATGCAAAGGAAAGGATTCATATTTTGTTTCTGTTTCGCTTGCTGTCTCACGCTCTTTCTCTCCTCTAGTAGAGCCGTGGCCTCAAGTCATAGCATTGGCGACGTCTACTTCTAAACTATGGAAGGTTTTCACACTGATGATAGAATTACTCAGAACAGGGGGGGGGGAGTGCCATCCACTGTTCGTGGGACAGTGAGTTACTGAGAGGTCACTGGGAATCACACAGCACAGAGACACCAACAGTCGACAGCAGGCCGTGGGCCTGGCTCTAGATGTATTTTTTCTTGAGGTACCAGTAGGCAAAATAGCCCATCCCGCCCAAGGAGCCCATAAGGAAGGATGCCCCAAAGAATGATGGGGGTTTCCGTTTGACCAGCCGGAATGCATTGGGAATCACAGCAGACAGCAGAGTTGTGTGGATGTCACCGAGGACTTTCCGGAAGGCAAAGCGTCTCTGCACCCTCTCAAAGAAGGACTGCAGGTTGGGCCGGCTGCCGTCTTCCCAGTATTTCTTGGACAGTCCCAGGAACTTGAGGCGGTGTAGGGTGGCCCCCAGGAGGACATCTGCCAGGGTAAAGGCACAGCCACAGAGCCACAGCTCGCATTTCTTCCCTGCAGAGGAAGGAGAGAGAGGAGATGCCACTCACTTTTCTTTTGTCAGCCCTGAACTTCAGTCTGCCTGCCAGTGTCCCCACGGGTCATTTATACCTTTACCCACATTAACCCTGTACCATCCACCCCTGTACCACTTTTTGCCATACCCTCGTATGTATTATCTCTATTCTTATTTTCTTTAAACCAGCTGCTCCCTGCCCCCTTGGTGCTGGGGATGGAGCCCAGAGCCTCTCCTATGCTACATAAGTGTTCTGCCTCGGAGTCACATCCTTTAGCCTCTGACTTTTGCAATGCAGACGTGTGTCTTTACTTCACTCCCACATAACCAGCTGTCTCTTTGACAGGTCTGCTTGCATATCCACTCTGAGTCTAAGACCTGATCATGTCCAAAACAGATTTGGGATTTTACCCCTAACCCACCCACGCTCATCCCTGCCTCAGAAGTGGCAGCTTTGCCTTTTCTCTTGCTCAGGCCCAAAGCCTTGGCATTGCCATGAATTCTCTTTCTTTTTTTTCCTGCGGAACTGGGGATTGAACTCAGGCCCTTGTGCTTGCCAGGGAAGCGCCTATTCCACTGAGCCATCTCCCAGGCCCCATGAATTCTCTTTCTTTCTGTCTTACTTTTCCCTCATGGCTGACACAAAATATCTGGCACCCCAAGTCAAAGGGGAAAAGGTTATTTAGCCCATGGCTTATAGGGGTTTCAGTCTATAATAAGCTGGCTCCAAAGCAAAGTGGCCTTGGCAGAAGGGCCTTGCAGAGAACAGTTCATGGTGCCCACTGCGAGGGACCTTAACAGTGTTTCTCTGCCCCTTCTGTACCTAGGCTACCAGGGCTTAGGGGGATAGCAAGCCAATCAGGGGAGTGATTTAGTAATCGCACTCCTTTAATCTCAGCATTGCACCTGAATCAACCACATGTCTTAGATCCAGCCTCATCTGAAAAAGATCCACCTATGATCACACAAGGCTTTATGGGAGACATCTAAACACAAGCCATACATTCTGCCCCTGGTCCCCCAAATGCTTTTTGCTTTTATGCAGAAGGGATTTAATCTATGTGTAAGAGTTGCCAAAGTTTTATCAGTTCTAGCATTACTGAAAAGTCTTAAGTCTAAAGTCTCCTCTGAGACTTAAGGCAAACTCTTAGCTGCAAGACCCTGTACAAATGAAAATACTTTCAACATCTAATGGCACAAAATAAATATCACCATTCTAAAAGGTACCACTACGGGGGATACATAGCTGTGGGGCCAAAGCAAAGCTAAAGTCTAGCAGGGAAAACATTAAGTCCTACACTTTTGTGTGTAGCATTTGAGGTGACTTGTGGCAAGAAGTGAACTCTAAAGGACCTGGGTGACTGCCTTATGGCCCTGCTGGTGGTTGTACTCCTCCTGGTTTTTCTCTGGGGCCAGCTCTGTTCTCTCTTTGTAGTTTTCTTTCTTTTCTTTCTTTTTTTTTTTTTAAAGATATATTATGTTTTTTATTTTATTTTATTTATTTATTTGAGAGAGAGAGAGAGAGAGAGAGAGAGAGTGAGTGGTGTGTGTGTGGCCAGCTCAGCCCACCAGGGGGCGGGGCTGCCTGGCATGTGGTGCTGGGGGATTGAACCGTGGTCCCTGATGCTTTGCCAAGCTTGTTCTAAGTAGGTGCCTTAGACCACTGAGCCATCTCTCCAGCCCCTCTTTTTGTAGTTTTCATCAGATTATATGTTCCTGGTTTTTCTAAACTTTCGGGGTCTCCACTGCACCTTTGGTTTTATATTCACAGCATTATGAGCTGCCCTCTCTGGGGCACACTACTGGCCCTCCCAGGCCTTTTTCTGAAATCTAGGTGGAAGCCTTTTTGCATCCACAGCTCTTAGATTTTGCATGCACCTAAAAACAGCACGATATGGATGATGCCAATATCTGCCACCAGCTGGAGTAGTGGCCAGTCTTCCTTTCCTCTTGGCTGTTGGGGGGCGATTGCCTATGAACCAAATCTTGAGGAACAACTTCTCTAGGTTGCTGCCATTCTAGAACATGGTGTCTTGGGGCTTTCTTTTCAGCACGGGAGTTTTGACCTGCTCTATTTCCGACCTGGGCCGGTTCACCCCTCCTTAGGCAACCTGGTGGTCCCCCGCTCCCGGGAGATCACCATTTTGATGCCGAACTTAGTGTGGACACCCAATGGGCATAGCGCACTGCAGCCCAGAACTCCTGGACTCAAGCGATCCTCCCACCGCAGCCTCCCGAGTAGCTGGGACTACAGGTGCGCGCCACCACGCCCGGCATCTTTTCAAAGCAAAGTCTTTCACTTTTGTAATTTTAAGCCTGTAAAAAAGGGTGAAATCCTTTTGTTTTTTAGAATGTCCTCAGGCTACTTTTTATATTTCTATTTCTTTTCAGCGTTCGAGATTCCCTCTGCTCTATCATTGTAGTCTATAGCTTTATTGGAGTTTCTTTTCTTCAATTTTAAATTGTTCTGCTGGGCTCTTTGCTCTTGATTCTCAACGTAAGTCTGGCTAAAAGCCTCCAACTGCAGCCATGCCATGACCTTAACATTAGACTGCCTTGAAATTTTTTTTCTGCAGGACTAATTAGTCTGCCACCCGTAAGATGCAAACAAACTTTCTGCCAAGTTGTAACACATATCATCTAGAGACCAACAGCCAATGCAGTCCTTCTCAGCAGAAACTTCCTGAGCCTGGTCTTTATTGGCAGGATTTCTTATCAGCCTTTTAAGATCTGAGCCCTGACCAGAGTCTCCCATATAGTATGCCTCAGGTATTCTAGCTCTGCTTTTTTAGCTGGCATCTCCAAACCTTTCCTAACTCCTCTCCTTCCCATAAGCCAAGTTCCATAGGCTCTGCAGCCACATGGTCAGGTAATATCACAGCAACAACCCCATTTCTGGCACCAAAAATCTGTTTTAGTCACTATTCTCTCCTTGCTGAGACAAAATATCTAACACCCAAAGTTAAAGTGGTAAAGCCTTATTTAGCTCATAGTTTGTAGTGATTTCAGGCTATAATTAGCTGAATCCAAGGCAGAGCGAGTGACACATGGCAGAGAGGCATTAAAGAGGACAGGGTACAAGGGAGCAAAAGCAACAAGGAAAGGATCTCAACAGCATCTTAGTTTCCCTTTTACACTCTATCTAGGCTACCTGGGATTAGGGTGGTACCAAACCAGTCGGTGGAGTGATTTATTAATCACAGCCTTACTCCCAGGATGTGCACCATGAATCAACCACACACTCTAGATCCAGCCACCTCTAAAAAAAGCTCCACCTATGGCCATACGAGGCTTGGAACGGTGGGGGGGGGCATCTAAACACAAGCCATAACAATTTCATTCACCACAATTTACCAGAAATTCCAATCAGCTTTATCTTCAAGATACATCCAAAATGTAATGTCTCTTCCACTTTTACCATTCTAGTCAAAATAACCATTATATCCTACCTACATTATCATGAAGTCCCTTACAAGGCCTTCATGCCTTGGCCCCTGGCCCTTGGAATTATTCTCAACACATAGCCAGAGAGATCCTATTAAAACTTAAGTCAAGGGCTGAGAATGTAGTTGAGTGGTAGAGTACTTGACTAGCAAGAGCAAGGCCATGGCTTTGATCTCCAGCACCACAAAACAATAATAGTAACAAGCAACATAACATGCAACCCTCTAATTACATCCTGTCCTGGTCAGAATAGGTGCTGAAACCCTTCAAGTCCTACAGCACTCTGTGTAGGTGGTCTCCAGGCACCTTCCAGGCCTCTGATCTTCCCTGTGTTCTCCTGGCCAGTGTCACACTGGCCTCCTTGTAGGTCCTTGTGTGAGGCACATGCCACCTCAAGGCTTTTGTATTTGATGTTTTGTTTGCTTGGCAGGGCCACAATAAGTCTCATTCCTCCACTTCTTCAGGTCTTTGCTCAGATGTCATCTGAGGTGGCTTCATGGGCTACTGATTTAAGATTTAAGCTTCCAGGTCAACCAGATAGCTCAGGAGACTAAAGCACCTGCTTAGGCAGGCACAGGAACCGGGGTTCAATCCCTGGCATGTCCTGCTGGCCCCGTCCCTGCTCATTGACACAGCGAATGAAACTAGGCATGGTGGTGCACACCTGTAATTCCAGCACTTGGGAGGCTGAAAACAGGAGAATCACTATGAGTCTGATCTGTGTCGTGAGACCCTGTAGAAGTTGTACTAAATGCATTTAAAAAATACATAAATAAAATTTAAGCCCCCAACCCCAGTGGTCATGGTCCCTTCCACTGCTAGAATTTTTTTGCTTAGAACTTATCACCATAACTGCATACTTATGTATGTACATATTTTTTCCTTTAAATTTAATTTTGTATGCTTTTTTTTTTTTTTTTTTTTTTTTGTGGCCAGCTCGGCCCACCCTGGGGGCGGGACTGCTGCAGCATGTGGTGCCAGACATCAAACTGCAGCCCCTGAGTACTTTGCCTAAGTTTGCCTAAGCAGGCACTTTAGACCACCGAGCTATCTCACTGGTCCTTGTACATACTCATCTTATTTATCTGTTGTCTTCTCCTACAATGAGAGCAAGGATTTGGGTCTGTCTTGTTTGCTGCAATTTGACCTGCACCGATTCGTGGCACATAGTAGGCACTTGAAAAGAAATCTATACTGAATAACTTGAATCAACAGTATCATTTCCCATAAATAAAAGTAAGCATAACAGAAACAAAGGCTATTAGGTTTCATCTGGACTCTACTTTCCAAGACTTGTTCTTGGTTTTTTGTTTTTTTTTTTTAATATATTTTATTTATTTGGGGTCCGGGGAGATGGCTCAATAGAATAAGAGCTTGCCTGGCAAGCACAAGGGCCTGAGTTCAATCCCTGGTTCCGCAAAAAAAAAAAATAAATAATAAATCTATTTTATTTATTTGGTACGAGGTCTTGCTATGCAGCTTTGACCCATGGTGATCTTCCTGTCTCAGCCTCCCCAGTGCTGGGATTACGGGTGTGCCACCACCACACCTGGTT